CTGTCAGTCGATTAAAATATTTAATCGCGATTAATCGCATGATTGTCCATAGTTAATCGCGATTAATCGCAAATTAATCGCACATTTTTTATCTGTTCTAAATGTACCTTAGAGGGATATTTTTCAAGTTTTTAATACTCTTATCAACATATGAGTGGACAAATATGCTTTATATGTTTGTTTATTATCATTTGAACAATGACAAATATTCTCATGAATATTAAACACAACAACCTCTGAACATTACAAATATTCGATTCAACCTGGAACCTCTCATACAATAATACAATACAGTGTGTGTGTGTGTGTGTGTGTGTGTGTGTGTGTGTGTGTGTGTGTGTGTGTGTGTGTGTGTGTGTGTGTGTGTGAGAATGTGGAGAGCTGCCTGGACGCTGCAATCATGTTGCGCGCACTATCCGTGCTGAGTGTGCTGACTTTTCGTACAATGTCCCACTGTCTGGCTACCTGCATAAAGTCAAGTGCTCGGCGCAGTTGTCGGCGAAATGTCATTGAAACAGCTCCTTATATCCGTTAGCGCAGCTAGCTAGCACCAGATGCTAACAACAACAACACGTAAGGTGTGCCTCGCTCGCGCGAGTCGCGCCACACATACACACACACACATACACACACCCTCCCGGTCCTCCCGATGGCCAGTCCGGGCCTGCCGGTGAGCGTGGAAGTGTGGTCTGCCACAAGCGGGCGACAGGAGCGGGGCTGTAAGCATCAGCTTGTAGATGGTATTTTAAACTCGATGCGCTCTGAAACTACGGGGCGGCCGAGGACAAAAAATACACATGCGTTAATCGCGTTAAAATAATTAGTGGCGTTAATTTTTTTTTGCGTTAACGCGTTATTAACGCGTTAACTTGACAGCCCTAATCTGAACCAAATGCCCTAAGTGAAGCCGTTAGTCTCATCTGACTGACCCAAGGGTTGGTGCTGGTGTGACAGGGAGGCTTCCAAGTGTTCATAGCAGATGTCATGCTTTCAGTTCATGGCTCAGTGGGGGGGAGCAGACCCATGTGAGACAGTATCAACGGCTGTAATGTTCAGTTTGAGGAGTGTCATTCTCTCTGGGAGCAGGAAATGGTGTCCATTCTCGGACCAGACCATTAATGTCATGTAGAGCAGCCATAGCATCTCTGTGACTGCACTCAGCCGGACTGCAGCAGGGCAGAACTGGGTGACTTTTAGTGAAGCCGTCCATGGCCATAGACAAAATGGAACCACGTACTAACAAAAGGGACACAAGGTCATCAATGTCTCTCTTTACCTTTAGCCTAATTGTAAAACAAATTAGTGGAAGAAATGTGGAACCCTAATCCATCATCATGTGAAATTTAGAGTTAATTTAAATAATTACTTATGGGTTGAAGTCAAATTAACATTAACATTAGAACTAAAGTCAGTCAAAATTGGACTTGCACGGATCAGAATCTAATCAATACACCATTTTCCCAGCTCTGTAATGAAAAGGATATCAAGATTAGGTACATTACAGGAGTGTTAAAACATCCAAACATGCACACTTATCTTATTCTAGTAGAGATTAGAGGACAGGTCTAATGTTGTGAACAAAATGATCAAGTCAAAGTTATTTTATTTATTTTATCTTATGTACCACATTTAATTTAATAATTAATCTTAAATTACTAATAACTTTAAAGAAGGCAACAATTTACAATGTGGATAAGGTGACTACTTATCCAAAGTGTGTGGGTGTGTGTGGGTGTGTGTGGGTGTGTATGGGTGTGTGAACAGCTTGTCTGCCCAAGGTTAAAACATTTGGGACAGCAGTGAGAATGTTATGAGAAACAATTTGTTGCTTAGACTGAACTCGTAAGAAAATAGATAACATGCATTTTAAATACATCAAAACACTTGTACATTAATTAAATACATTTGACATTTAGCTTGAGCTGGGTTCAATACTTTCTTTATGGTATTTAAATTGGGCTCAAGTAGAACCTTTACATGGATTTGGCTTGCAACACAAAGTGATACCGATCTCTGTCTGTTATGATTTGAAAGTCTCATGATTTAAAGTGTAGGCCTGTGAAGGAGAGGCCCTTGGAAAACTACTAAATCTACTTTTTGTTAACTGTAATTACTTATTGTAAAGAGATTGCAACATTATACTTTTTAAAGAATTGCTCAATTCATTTAACACATTTATTATGCACACTGTAATGAAAACGTCAACAAATATATTGATCCTGGCTTAACCAGCGACCTTTACTCTTTTGTTCATAAGCTCGGTTTCAGAAAACAGTAGTTTAACAACTATTATAATTGTAGTAATGTCTATGGAGACCAATTGGTTGATACGAGAAATCATTTGAAGCAGTTTAATAAAGAATGTTAAACTATATTTAAAACTGTAATTAAACTTCAACTTATATTAATTATCTGAATCCAGTGGCCAGTTGGAACAGATAATCAACAAAGTTTCCATTTTGCAGCAACAGCGCAAAAGGTTTCAACAATTATTTGTATTATGTCTGAGTCAAGTTCTGTCTTATCAGCTTTGTTTCGGAATGTGTTCAATACATTACGTTTTTTTTTCATTATTACCATACAATACATAGATTTAAGAATAAATGAAACAAATAATACAACATTGACCTAAAACAGCAGACAGATTTTGCCACCCTGACCTCCTCAAGCAGGTTGTTTACGACCAGCAGTGATGCCTCTTAGGGTCTCAGGGTGCAGGACGGGGCATAGGGTTTATAAAAGGTCACAAACATATCTTAACATACCAGCAATACAATTTAAGAATGTATTCTTAAAGTAATATAATCTTCTCTTCTTCTTACACCTACAGCGCACACCCTGAACAGTGTGCTCCTTGTTTACATGTTCCTCTGCACACTCAGATGCAGGACATACAAACACTCTTTTGCTATTTATTTTCATTTTGCAGCACATTTATACTACCAGAATTTTGCAAAACACTATATATTATTTATTTTTCTCAAGTCATTTACTTTTGGTGAGTTAACTAAAGCTTAGTTTATTTTACCCTGGCTATGGACTGATTCATTATTAGTTGTTACAAAACATGCACAAGACGGCGGTTAGTACAAGAAAAACCACACTGCAATTAGACGAACAAACATGAACTCATAATAAACACCAGCGTGACAGCAAAGTTCATCCAGCTCAATTTAGTCCGGATTAAAGAGGTTTCAGAGGGGGTAGGGAATTATCTCTCCCTCTATGGGGAACCCAGTGGGGCACCTTGACTCACGCCCCCACCCTTGTATACAAGTCCTAGATCGGTGCCTGAAGACCGTCCAAGAGCAATAACTAGCTTATCCTCTTGCGACCCCACTACTCTGTTCTAGTGGTGCTATGCCCCCCCGATCTGGAGCACATAGACTTTTTTCTCCTCTACCCTTTCTATTCGAAACTACACAGTTAACTGTAGTCCTACTCGACCAGCCTATACACACGCCATCATGTTCATCACAACGATGAAACACAGTTTTGTTCTACACTTGCATGCCACTGCCCACCCATGATCAATTAGCCTATAATTGTATGTATGCACCCCGGACCGGCACCAGTTCCTCCAGCAATGTAGGGAACTGTGGCGCATCAGGTAATGCACGCACCTCGCACTTTCCTGCACGTCGTAAACGGCCACAAGCCACGAGAGTGCTTTTAAACCATCTCGTTTTTAATAGAGACGGCGGTGGTGTGAGTTAAAGCTATAGACAAAAGCTGTGACTTTCTCCCTCCGAGTTCACTTCACCAGCCCATGCAGATACGGGGAGGTATTTTACACACATCCCCCGGAGCCGCAGCTGGAGCCGTGTTTTTTTTAGAGGCGCTGGGGGTAATATCTCTGGCTGCTTGTGTTAACTGCTAGTGTTGGCCGCTGAAACCCCCGGAATCTCGGCGATTTGTTCATTACAAATCTCTATATTGATTTCACACAGAAGTTCCACTTTACTGCTGCCCTCATTAAGGTCTTTTTAAACATCTCCGTGTATGCCTGCACGGCACATACGTCCCGAGCAGCACACACAGAGGGAACCAGCCAGGACAGAGTCCCTGGATGATCCTCTGGGGTTACTAGCCCCAAATGTTCATTAACCAAAACGAAACGCAGCCGCTTAGCTTCACAGATAATTTTAGGATACCGTCAATCACAGATTCTGGTAAGGCAATGTCCAAATGTAGATTTGAAATCCCACTTACCAGTTCTGAAGATCTGTTGGTATCCTGCCGACAACGCCAATTTGTGGAGGAAACTTCTGTGTAGCAATGCATGGAGTCACCGACTCAGGAAGGAGACACGGTGAGAGTTGGAGCTTTGATGTCAAACACTGATGGGTTTATTCAGAGTATTCGGCCGGAGGATTCACATCACAAATCAAAGAGTCAGAGGTTCTGACTACACGGTAGAGTTGCCACGTCAATTCTGAAGAGCCTCTCTCTATGCTAGACCTTTTAACTGGTTCACAGAGAGTAATCAACATCTCTGAAGGAGTAGACTAAACAGCTGGGAACACTGAGCCACCTGCGTCCGACACTCATGGCCTCAAAGATTTCACATCTTAGAGTCCACAAACACCAATAAAGAAGTGCCTCAGCGTTCTCACAACAATTACCATTCGTGCCAGACAAATTGACCGGTCACAAACTGGTAACAACAACACATATGGCACCAATGCCTTTCCTTAAAGGAGATAACAGACGTCAGAGTAGATCATAAAACGTCACAGAGCAAAAGGTTAGATATCTAGAAGAATTATTCCTTAACACATATAGCAGCTTTTATGTGTTGGCCACATGTGGCAGCTGTTTTTTAACCTCAATTGGAATGGCCTTTAGTGTGTTAATGTGTCCGAATATTGTCTTTCGCTGTGTGTTTTAATAGGTAAATGCTATATGAAATGTATATGAAAAGCAATCTAAAGCAGAATGCATTACATCTATCAAATTTGGGGGGGAACCTGAAAATTAACTTTCCTATTACCTCCTAGGTACTGGGGATCGACCCCTGATAATGGTAGTGGAGATCCAGTGTGGGGTGAAGAGGACTGTGCAAGTCTTGTAGATGGAAGGGAAACCAGAACAAACTGGAATGATCTGCGGTGTGCTACCCGTCTGCAATGGATCTGTGAAAAAATGGCTTAACTTGTGGCTGTGAGGCAGTGGGTTTGTCTTCAAATAGGAAGGCTGTGGGTTCAACCCCAGCTCCTGCCATCAACATGTCAATGTATCCCACTTAACCCCAAATTGTTCTCTTGGCCAATGTTTGAATGTTATGTGCTGTTTACACGATAACGCAAACGGTTGTATCCGCAACTTTTGTCTTTCGTTTAGCCCGTTCGTTCACAAGAGGCCGTAACGGAAACGCGGAAACGGACCCTGCAAACGATAACGGGTCCCAAGGTGGATAGATCTGCAACCGGAACGCTCTGAGGGGGCAAACGGCTCCGTGTGTACGCCCTATACAATAATTTTCCTGATAATGATGAGCCATAGCCCCACCTCTCCCCACCTCTGCTGCTCACTGCTGTAGCATGGTCAGTAGCTACTGCATACTGCTACTGACCATGCTACAGATGTTTGTGCACAATCTACAGCTCGACCATGCTACAGATCAGATGTTAGTGCAAAATCGACAGCTCCTCTACCACAACCATCAGCAACAAGTGGACATGGAAAATTACATGAACTACATGTTGCTAAATCCACCGCGGGGCATAAACAGAAGGGCAACCATGGCAACCATGCTCGGGGGTCTTCTTCGCTGCTTTTGGTGTATTTTGTGATGGAAGTTACTACGCCACTTACAGCCCGGCATATGTACTACAGCGTCTCCAGTGCTTTCGAGCGGTCTTGTGCAGAAGTACAGCGCCACTTACAGGCCCGGCATATGTACAACAGCGTTTCCAGTGGTCTCGTGTGAACGTACACGTTAAATGAGCCGAATGCGTGTGAACGGAATACTTTTTTGAAACGAATTCGGTGCGTAAACGCAAACGTTCCCGTGTAAATGGGGTCTTAGCTTCCTTAACCCTCCTATTGTCTTCGTTTCCCCCCCCTTACTTTGGTCTTCGCGGTCAAATTTGACCGGTCCTGTTTTAACTGCTATTACATTAACACAAAAACCATTAATCATCACCAAATTTCATTTAACACCCTTTCAAACTGTAAATATTGTATCAGACTACTGGCATACAGGAAAAACTGCAGTAAATATACAAAGAATAGACACTGAACATGTATTGCGTGTGCCAGGTGTGATCCATGTGGGGGGATGGGCACATAAGAGCGGGAAATGTATCAAATTGTTGTGTGTGTGTTTGTGTGTGCCAGTTGTGATTCACATGGGGGGATGGGCACATAAAGGGGGGGAACACATCTAGAGTGTGTGTGTGTGTGTGTGTGTGTGTGTGTGTGTGTGTGTGTGTGTGTGTGTGTGTGTGTGTGTGTGTGTGTGTGTGTGTGTGTGGGTGGGTGTGTGTGGGTGTGTGGGTGTGTGGGTGTGTGTGTTTTATCTGATCCGGATGGTTACCAATTCCTTTTCTTTATAGCGGACCGGGAAGACCAAAATTCAATGACGGGCCGTCTCCACAGCAGCGTTAAAAAATCTTGAAACGCTTCTGCCCATTCACTTTGAATGGGGTGACGTCACTTTCCCTCACTTTTCGCCGAAATGCATTGTGGGCAGGCGAGCGGAGATTCTCAGGATTTTCAAGATTCAAAGTTGAACAATGTTCAACTTTTGAAGCTGAGGTGGAAGCGGCAGCCAATCAAATCCCGTGTACGCAAATCTGGCAGTTCAAGCTCTAGCCAATCAAACGGCGTGTATGCTGGGAGAGACATACCGCAGGTCATTTCCTCATATTCCAAAAAATGGAGGAGAAATTAGCGGTAGCGAATCAATCACCCGGTGCTTTATGACCAGGCCTACCGGGATATAAACCGGAGGAGCCAGGCATGGAGGGAGGTGGCAGAGACAGTGGTATGTTTTCGCCTGTTTTGGGGAGTTTATATCCAGTTTACTTCGGGCTTTTTGGCTTCGTATGTCGCGGGCGGGAGATTCATGCGATTGGTTGATCGCAAAAAAATCCCCAAGCCTCAGATACGCCCACCTCCAAGATTTTTTTAACGCTGCTGTGGAGACGGTCCGTGAAAGTGGTGATCAGCAATTGTATATGTTCAAATGTCTATTGTGAAGGATATCATAAAGCCTTGATGCAATCGAATGTAAAGCAAAAAAGTTATGATTGATGAAAGTAGTAAATCGGTCAGATTTGACCCGAAGACAACAGGAGGGTTAAGCAGCTGGCACTTTGTTTGGCTGCCCCTGCGTATGAATATGTGTGAATGCTAGATATATATACAGTATGCTTTAAAGAGTTATAAAGACTGGATAAGCGCTATATAAAATGCAGTCAATCACCAATACATTTGTTAATATTTTTACACTTTACTCTTTTTTTACGCATTTAAAAGTGTTATTGTATTTTGCAATACTGTATGGAGAGAGAAAGAGAGTCTAAGGCCCAATCCCAAACCACTCCCTCGACCCTACCCCTCCGTGGCGGAGTGAACTCCGTCTGTAGCCACACTCGCAGCTCAACGAGGCTCCCTCCTGTCAGATGGAGGGAGTAAATACAGCGGCAAGCTTTGGGACAAACTCCCCTCTCTCCGGCAGAAACAGGAAATGCCGTAACTGTATGTAACAACGGTTTCAAATCAGCATCTCTTAGACAAAAAATGTAAATTAATAACTCAAATAAAACTCCAAACATCTTTCATTGTGTTACTTTTTTGTAAAGCTCTTTTAGGTTTAAACCTGATGTTTATAAGCTTCTTAGTTTTTGCAACAGTCTGTAAATATACACAACGTTATAATAAAATGCACACATTTACCTTTTTCTAGACTAAACACAGGTATTTAAAAAATATGAGGTTATCATGAGGTTGTTAACATCGCAATTTATCAGTGGATGTTTGCTGGAACTACTTGTAAACAGCGTGTTTCCTGACGGACACACACAGCGTGACTCCGGTCAGGTAGAGACCGGTCTCAAGTCAGCACCGATGCAGACTCGCTGTTTGAGGGCTTGATAGCCCACTCCCCCTCCACACCTCTCCACACTCGTTGGTTTGGAACAGCACTTAATGTGGCGGACCCTCCGCGCGAACGCGCAAACGGAGGGGTAGTGTGTAGGGGTAGGGGGTAGGGGGCGGTTTGGGATTGGGCCTATATCAACAAGTGAGGTTAGGAATGAAGATATTGGTTAAGTTTTGGCCAAATTTGACTGCTTGTTACTGGGAATATTAACCATGGGAAATTAGGATGTTTAGCATGTTTTATACGTGCTCATGACCATCATATGCAATTAAAGAAAGCTACTTATTGTACTGCTTCTATACTATGAAATAATAAAGATTGTCCTGAAATTCACTTTATTATTAGAATAATAAAGTTGACTTTAGCTGTTTCAATCACAAGTTCATCTTTGTATTTTGTGCCTCTGTGACATGTCTCCATGCTTTAATGTTCAAAAAGCTCTTTATTTTTCTCATACTGCCAAACCAGAGCCCAGTCTGCTCTGATTGGTTAGCTGGCCGGCTCTGTTGTGATTGGTCAACTGCTTAGAGATGTCCCGCCCCTTAACCTATCACGTTCATTGTGTTGGAGCGGTAGCAATACGAGTGTAACTGTGGCCCGTTCTCATGTCTTCAAATGTCGCTCCTCGACTCCTATCCTCGAGACTTAGTCCCGCCCACAGGAGATGCGAGCGGAGGAGCCGAGGAGGGGAACCGAGGAGAGAGGAGGGGAAGCAGCAGGCGGTTAGAGAAATGAGAACTCCTCTCCTCTGAGCGGTCATTTTAAAGAGACGTCCATTAATGATGACAGGAGGCACAGCAGCCCTCTGTCTGATGGACAGATGTGTTCATGACGACTTATATATTTACTTTTAATTCATTCACAGTGCGGTATAATGAGACAATAACAGGCTACAGATGCGGACATACACACAGACACACAGACACACACACACACACACACACACATATATGTATATATTTATATAAATATATACAATTTCAGAATCAAACAGAGCACTCTCATAATAACGTAACACTATCAGAGACTGGATATATCCCCCCCCCCCCCCCCCTCTCTGGTCGCTACAATGAGGGAAATAAATGACGGGCCAAAAGTTTTATTTACAAGTATTACAAGTAAGCAGAGGACACCAAACCAACTGAGACCTGTCTGTCCGCTGCATCTACGCACACACTGTACCACACACACCTACACCACACACACGTTGTTTGGTGAAGAAACTCCCTCTGGAAGGAACATTGGGATTTTAGCCATTGTGACAATTTACATGCACAAAAACTTTGTAACACTGTGAGCACCTCAGCTTACACACAGGCAGGGCTGGACTGGGACAGCAAATCGGCCCTGGCATTTAGACCCAGACCGGCCCAAATCCATAAAACAAACGAATAGTAGCGGTTCCTGACAAGAAGAATAACTCAGTGTAATTAAAAAAAACGCTATTATTATCCTTTTTACGTACCAGGGGCAAACAAAACTAATACATACCACAAGTATGTGTAACTATCAATCATTAGAAATTAGACCTTCAAACCCTCTCACAAAGCGAACAGTGACCGAGCACTAATAGGGAGGTCTGGTGGGGTATGCCCCCCACAGAAGAATTTTTTTTTAAATAACCCCTTAAATGATGACTTCTAGTGAATTTAGGGGGGGGGGGGGGACCCTATAGTGCCCTGCCTCCCCTTTCTATGACAACACAATAGAGATAGGACCAGATGAGTCTACAGGATGAGTCGACGGCATCTTTTTTATATACATTGACGCTTTCATTTAATTTTTCCATCCTTTTTTTAATCGCTGTAATTGTATTGCCTTTTTCATCTGTACACACGACACCTATTGCACGTCTGTCCGTCCTGGGAGAGGGATCCCTCTTCTGTTGCTCTCACAGAGGTTTCTTCCTACTTCCCACTGTTAATTGTGGGGTCTGTTTTGGGGAGTTTTTCCTTGAGCGCTGCAAGGGTCTAAGGACAGAGGATGTCGTACCTGTACACACTGTGAAGCCCTCTGAGACAAATTGTAATTTGTGATATTGGGCTATATAAATAAAATGTGATTGATTGACGCACGCAAGGGGCTATAGTGCAAGTCTTAGGCGGCTGGTTTCTCAGAACCTCACAGAGCACACAGAACTGAAGGAACACAGGCTTAACCAAAAATACTATCCATTGTCTTTATTTTTTTTCCTGAGAATAGGTTTGAAAGAGACAGATTTAAATTTACAAAGAGAGTTGAAGCAACAT